CTCTTGAAATATGTGGGGCTCGTATAAAAAATGATACGTAACGTTTACAATTTATCTTTTTGCTCTAAAAGAATGTTGCACGCAACCGCCCCATTTTCATTGCTTGTATTTTTTGCATATCGTTATAACAATTCTTAGCCACTTTATGTCAAGCTTCCCTTCTTTATTTTAGGAACAAACACTCATTTGTAAGGTTTTGTATGTATTACTTTCCTAAATAAACCTGCGCCATGTGCTAAATAAATTGAATTTTCTTCCGTTTACATTACGTTTTGAGCTTCCATTTAAGTTAAATGTTCTTATCCATTATAAAGGGACCGAGTAAATAGTTAAATACGATGATAATTGTTACCGAATTATTCACATTTCTAACGCAAACAGATTTCCATTTATTTTCTCTTAGATTCGTTTCCGACTACGGCGATTTTTAATTACCGCTGAGAAGTTGATCTTGCGCATTTAAGATGAAAAAGTACATTTCATTATTCGGAAAGTGTATTGTGGACCACGCTATTATTCTGTTTAATTCAGGGGCGGACTGGCCCGAGGGGGCGGGTGGCGATTGCCACCTGGCTGTAGATCATAATGGCCCGTTGGAAATGTATAAGTATGTGCTGTATTTAGTTTCTTGCACTATTAATAAATTATTAACACGTTTCTCTAATTGGGGTTGATGTTAGGTTGTTAAAAAATTTAAAAATTCTGTTTTAATTGAAGTGTTTTACAATGAATTTATCATTTTTTGTCGTAGCATGAAAGTGCTGAAATACAATGATAGGCGACGCACCTCGTTTGGATTGTATATTTTGTTACTTTTAATTATCAGCTGCAATTAAAAAAAAACTGTATGGTAATTAATTTTCGAGAAAGGAGTACTTTAAAATGTTTTTGTGGTGCACCTCAGAGCTAACCCCCCCCCCCCCTCCCCCGCCACCTTCATTACTACACTAATACTTTAATGGCCTCTGTAACCTATGCAATTCCACCTGGCCCGTAAGTACCCAGTCCGCCCCTGCTGTTTATGGAGAGCTAATGAGATAATATGTACACACCTCGGTACACACGTTGTTTGCGTTGTGAGAAATATAAACTTATAATTCCTGTTTAATAAGTTAGCTACAGCTGTAATAACAATGCGGAAAGGTAATACCTTACGAGTGGAAGAAAGGGAGACCAGGAGCCCTAAGGACTCCCTGAGATCATATATACATATACAATAATATTTATTGCTTTTTCACAGTCATAGCCCTATCAGACTCGTAAAATATACAAAGAACATATTATACATCACAAACAAAATTTTGAACAGTTTTCATTTCATTAATTGAATTGGTACTCCGTAATAGGCTTTAGCATTAACCTCGGCATTAACAAGATGTTAATTCTATTGGTAATTTATTATTGAATTGTATGTATGTATACGTGTATCACCTTAGATTTCTCGCCATAGTTACTGGGAGTTTATATTCGTCAGTAGCTATAAATTTACCACTCGTGCTTTTCTTTGCAGCCGTAGGCTCTATCCTATGTTTTAATGCACCACTGCATGACGGAACAAAAGTAGATATAAATTAAACCGCTTAATTTTTTCACTTTTGATAATTAGAGCCCTACTTTCCGCTTATCAAAGAAGAAACAACTCTCATGTTTCTTGCAATGAGTTACTATTTGACCGAATAGCAAAAATCAATATTTAGTTAGAACGAAATTATCGAGAGCAAGTGTTACATACTCACTTCCTGCTTCGAATATCTAAACTTTAAAAATGAAACATGGCTATATTATATTTCCCCCAGAATAAAGTTGTAAAGTTCCTATTGTGCCTCATTCTATTCACGAGGAACGTGTACTTTTTCAAGCCGTTCTTGATATATGGCGTGGAAGTCACAATTTAATTAAAATTCTCCTTTCAGCGTAGCACTTATTACTCCAAAAATGAAATCGAAACTTCTATAAAAGTACTAGAAAATATGTAAGTGTTCATTAAGCATACTTACTATTACTTCTTAATTACAAAATCAAATTCGTGCTATATGGAATCTCGATGGAATCATTAAGAAGCGAATCCAGCAAAATCGGAGTCAAATCTCATCGGGAAATTAAGCTCGTTTCCATTCATTTAACTGTCGTTCATAGCGCGGCGGGACATTACTGCAAATGCACTCATGTGGAAATGTTAAACAGAACAAAATTCCACTGTATTCTCATCTGATAAGTATTTTCGTTGCCATTGTTTTCGTTTCTTCGCATTGTGCTATGCAATTTGTATTGTGCCGGTTCCCAAACTGATTTTAATGAGTACCAAAAGTAAAACAAGAGAAATTAATTTCCGGTAAATCTCGAAATTCTATTTCTAAAGGAAACCTCCGACGAATAGCGCTTTTTCGTTAATTAAATAAAGTCTAAAAGTGGAAGACCATTTCATGAAATAATCTGCAGTGATTGTGTTAGATCTCGTTTAAAATCGCTTTCCTTGCACTAGGATACAATATTACTAAATTCTGTCCAATATTGTCAGACATTGTACCGAAGGCTTCCTGAGATAGTTAAACGTTTAGTTCCTTTTACTTGCTTATAATGAAAACTAGTAAAATTTCATTTGAATAGGTATAGAACATACTCGTAGGTATCTACTTATAGGTGTCATTTCCGGAATCTTGTTGTATTGCATTAGCCGACCATAGATTTCTTTACAAGGTTATATTACATCTTTTACTAGTCTTTCACTCCGATGTGTTATTTTCAAAACTGAATCAGAGGTAAATCATTTATTAGTATAAGATCTAGGGATTGGTGTGATCATTGTGAACTCTGAAAATCAGTTTTATATAAACTTTCAGAAGCTATTGGAAAGTGACGCAAATTGCGTTCAATGGTCCTTGTGGGATAGTAGAATAGAAGGGAACGATCTGCTGCCTTTGAATTTATTTTCCTTTTATTTGTCCTTTTTCAAGTGGGGTTGTAGATGTAATAACATAAACCTAGACGCTTTAACCAACCAAATGTCCGAATTTACATATTATTTATTTTACACAGCTTGAAGCATTTGATTGAAATAACGGTGGAAGTCAACTTCGTTAATTTTTTATTGCAATTTCATAAATGAATAGCAGGGATACGCGGTACTTCATGCATAATGTGAAAGTGGTTTCCAATTTCCAAATTGGCGAGGAATTAATATTTCTATCCCAATATATTAAACGTGTTTTTTAATAACCAATATAGATTCATTGTAATACTCAATTAACCTTACCAATTAATCTACCATTGTCCATAAAGCTGCATATTTCTCTCTGACACATAATTACAGCTAATACTGTAATGTGGGGTAATTTTACCAATGTGTTTAGTCATTTAAGTCTTCCGTTTTAAATACTCAAATGTGTGCGAAAAAAGGTCTTTAAAACACACGTGCTTTAAAGTTGCTAAGTAATGATACTTCAAGCATGGCTTTTGAAACTCTCATCTGGGTGAAATAAAAAATCCTCTTAGGTCGCTTTCTGTAAATGCAGAACATTTCTTTGGTTTGTACCTATACTTTGGTTGAAGCTTTCACAAACGCGCGTAATTTAGGGTATGCTTTCAAATCTGTTCCACTTTTTACAATTATGAATACTCTTTATGTTAATTTTTGATAGTTGCACACCTGGAGTCCATATGCTTCAATATAACGAAAATCCGAAATCTATACGAGGTCTAGGGACTGAGCTAGATATAGCACGGAACGACAGACAGACGGACGGAAATGTGAAGTCATAAGCGCTCCAGTTTCGTGGGTTGCGGTGAAAACGAATTTCTACGGCGCAACCCAGGAAATTATGAATATTTCGCCTGCCCGCTCGGTAGATTTATTTGCCCGCGCATAGTAACTAATCTGGCTACACCCCTCTGCAGTGCGCTAAGGGTAGCAAAAACTAACATGTATTTTTTCTATTATAATTCAAAATGGAAACTCAAAAAAATGATAAATTAAAAAAAACTACTGGATATTATGGGCACTCATCACTAATTGTCGCACTGAATTAGATTACTTCTTCTCTTTTACCTCGGTTTTCTCGAACACCAAATTTAATTACTTAGACTCTAAAGGCCGCTATAATCACCGCACATGGTTTTATCTCACCAGGTCGACTACCTAAAGCCAGAATCAACGTAAGTACGTTATTGCGCTTGCTTGATGCTAGAAAGAGATTATGGCAGATGTTATCCGTCGTACGGTCGTATTTACAATTATTAAGCGGCAGAGCAAAGCGATGCAAGCTTTATAGGAGAGTCGATGGCGTCCGTCTGTCCGTGAACACGACAAACGCTTGGACCGATTTGGTTCAAACTTTGCACAGTTGATCTATATACCACATGTAATAAGCCTATTGATGCATTTAAATAAATCGTGATCTAGATCCAGATCAAAGATCCACACTTAAGAAACGGATCTAGATCAAGATTCAAGATCCACCCAAAAGGATCAAGATCTTTCATAGATCCTTCATAGGTAAATCTCATTTACATGGGTGGATTTGTCATTACTCCAAATACTGCAAGGAAGGTACAGCAATTTTCACACTTTTCCAGGTTATAAGAAGAATGTTTTATCATTATTATTGTTTTTTATTTCACAGAAATCCAAAATGTTCTGCAAAACTCGTATCAACTCCCTGCAAGAATGGTCAACGTAGAATGGACTAGAATTCTCTATGGAGAAAAGCAAATGCATGAATTTCACGAAGAAATATAAGTCACACAACCCACCGCTCTTCATCGGACAGACACCGCTAACGTATGTAAACAAATTTAAATATTTGGGAATGTGGTTAGCGTCTAAATTAACGTGGATACCCCACATCAAGTCTCTACGAGATAAATGTGGAAAAACCCTAAACATTATAAAAGCTTTATCACATCAAGAATGGGGTGCCGACGACGACATCCTCACATTTTTATAGTGAACACCTTAGTCAGATCAAAAATTGATTACGGAAGCTTCCTTTACCAATCTACCATCAACAACATACTGATAACTGTAGACGCCATCTATAATAATGGTCTCCGATATGCCACAAGAGCTTTTCGAACCACCCCTGTGATAAGTATTTACGCAGACAGTGGACAACTACCGTTAAAATACAGGAGAATGTGCCAATTAGTAAACTACTCACTTTCAACGCTAGAAAACGGCCAACCACCCAAACCACGAAAAAGTCGCATCACCTCGATTTCAAAACATACAAAATCAAACCGTCCTACCACATACCTTTCAATATTAAAGCAAAACAAATATGAATTAAACATTCCCACCACATCGATCAATGCAAACGAAATAACGACGATATTTCAAAAGTTACGGTTGTGTTTGGTACTATAAACAGACAACTTCGCGAAGAATCTACATATCGTATTCGTGTCGATAATCTGTTGACCGGTAAGTGTATATTTTTAATTATTTCCAAACCTATTTGGCTTTTCATATTATTGTTTGCGTAGATCCTTATCACATTAGTACCGGTATCTTAGCGTGTTAGCCGGTTATCCTTACTCGCAGTTATCAGTGTTATCATTTTCGTTCAGGCATAGGCGTAATCTCAAACTATGAATATGAAGTGCTGTCATTGTTTTGAGTCCATTCTCGGCTCTCGCCTCGCATTTCAAAATTAGCTGCAGTGCATGCAAACTTGGCCTGCATTTGGAATGCTTGGATATGACAGAAGAGGAAAGAACATTCGTTCCTAAAATGCGCTCCAACAATCTGAAGATTTTTTGTAACCGTTGCAATGTATCGCTTGCGGCAATTGCTGATATCAAATCAATGGTGAATGATTTGGAACTGGCTTTTGAATCGCGAATTGAGAAACTCGAAAATTTAATTACAGAAAACACAACTCAATCTCTCTCTTCTAAAGAGGACACAATCAACGAAGCTGTGGACAGATTGAATCGTTCGCTCAATGTGGTGCTGTACAATGTCCCTGAAACTCCTGCTATAAATGATTGTGACTTTGCCAACGATATCTTAGAAGTAATAGACTCCACTTTGGTTGTTTCCCCTGGTAGTGTTCATGTTCATAGAATTGGTGCTCCTTCCAACAACAAACCAAGGCTGAGACTTGACCATAAAATATATTAATAAAACCCCCCTCACAGTTGATAAAAAAACCTAAGTACTGGCAAGCCTTCACATCCTGTATTCGAACCAGGCCTCATTGTTATCTAAATTTAATGATCTTACTCTTTGTGATTTCTTCGTCAAGCCCGAGCATTATTGCTATATCAGAAACATGACTTCAGTCTAATATTGCTGATTCTGTTGTTGCTCTAAAAAATTACACTTTACACAGAAAAGATCGAGTAGTCTGTAAAGGTGGCGGAGTGTGCTTGTTCGTGCACGACGACCTGAGTGAGCGATTTTCTGTTGAAACAATTCATATTGCTACTGAACCTTACGATTCATTGTTTTTAAAATTCTGCAGCAAGGATCTCACTTTTGTTGTTGGTTGTGTCTACAGGCCGCCTAATTAACACAAGCTTGAATAACGCCGCGCCGGAAACGACACCACATCACACGCTATACAAACAGACCCGTCATATATCATCGTATATTTCATTTTCCGCAAAATTGGTTTTTGTCCATTTGCATCAGGTAGATAGAAATGATTGTATTTATGAACTACGCACATAGTATTTTCAAACAAAATTGCAAACACCTTGGATATTAAAGGGATTTTTTATACTGCTTTATGTTGTCAGTTTGTCACTATATTCCTCACAACAGTATAGTGAAGTGAGATTCAATATATTTATTCAAAGGTAATTAGAGAATCTTGTACTTGTTCAAGTGCCTAATTGAAATTCTTTAGAGCTTAAATGCAATTTAGGCATAGTTATGAATTCAATTAATGAATTGGTGTAGATCTTGAATTTTATTGGAGCTTAATTTCTGAATTCAATCAATAAAATCAACTTCATTTGAGCTGAAATGGAGGTAACTGTAAAGTTTTCAGTAAATGCAGATTTTCAGTCTGCAACGAAAGTTTCGTTTCGATTAATTTTGAGCTGAATTTGAGCTTAACTTCTTATTGTGGCCGATTCATAGATACGGTTTGAGGCGAGTCGGAGTTTTCAGTCTAATTTTTAAATTCCAACTGTCAGCCCGAACGGAATTTTGATTTTTAAAATTGCCCTTAATTAGGGGTAATTGAAAGATTTACTGCTTTATTTTATAAATAAATGAACTCCGCAGTTCGAAGCCCTTTCAGCCCAAATGTTTTCAGTTTTTAAGCTCCAAATGTACACACACTTGGGAGTGCTCTCAATTCAAACTCGGAGCTGACATGAACTTTTAAAGTAGTTAGAGCGCGTTCGGCTGAAGTCAAGTGATGTACTCGGCGTACCTATTACTTACGGTAAACGTCCCCAAAAAAATGATGTTATGAAGGAAACATAATTAGAAATACGGTATGAGTGGTATTTTGTACCTCAGCACAATGCAAACGTCTTACATGATTTTTAAAAAGGTATATACAGTAGTCAACTTGACTAGTCTCCCTACTTTTCGACCCTGTTTCAAACCTTTGCACACTAAATGTTGACGACACACCGCGACTAAATATTCACAGTGTAAGCGGTAAATCCTAAACGAATATATTTATTTTTAATCAAAACGTATGCGAGACGTATGTAAAAGCCGGGAAACTAAATAATTTGGCGTTTTACGTGAAGTCGGTGTAGTGGATTTGGTTTTTCGATGTTGGCGCCAGAGATCCCCAGCCGCTATCTTGATCTCGATCCGATCAGTGTGTCAACAAGACGTGTGCAGGCCTTTATAAATATCGCTGGTTTTGATGTTCTTTCTGAAAGACACCATGCCTTTTGTGAAGAAAAGTGCTCAGCAGAAGAAGGAAAAGATGGTCCTAGCTCAGTTATATACTAGACCTAGTGGAAAAGTCATCAGATTTAAACGCGTGCTGCATAGCGTGCCGCCGCGTCAGAGCAGACGCCGCTCCGGCGGTAAATATCTTCCTTATTTCATCATGAACATGTACTTTTCCGTGCATATTTAGATTCGTCACAAAATTTCGCTTCTAATGAGACCCATCTCATTTAAGTCTTGATACAAAAACCTTCGCTAGCTCAGAAAAACTGAGTCTGTCCATAAGAGCCCATGTTAAAATACCCTGTTTTTACTGTCAAATATCTCAGAAACGGCACATAGGAACACTTTTTTCTTTTGACCATTAGAAAGTGCGTCTCTCAGAGAATAAGTGACCAAATTTTCACCAACTTCTTGTTACTTTTACCTAGGCGCTCTAACTACTTTAAGTGCAAGTTTTCAATTAATGGCCGAATGGAGATTTCAGTGCTTTAAAAAAGCTGTTTCCAAACATTCCTGTCACCTCGTTCTTTGCCTCCTACTCGGGCAGCAACACGACAGCCTGCACACAGAATTTATTTTCAAATCCAAAACTGGCAAGACATCCATTTGGAACCACCCGTATGGGGCTGGAGACGTACCGCCAATGGGTTACTTCCAGTACCCAATATAAAAGAAGCTGCACCATCAGAATTGTTGAGGACCATCTCTTGCAATTGTCAAGCTGGATGCAAAGGATAGTGTGGTTGTCGGTCCTTTGCACGACTTGCGAAGGTCGGACTTGCTCCAACATGGAACCAGTGGATATTGAAATTGAAGGAAACGTCGATGAGCCGAGCCGTATCTTCAAAACTATTAGTTTTATCGAAAATAATGTAAGTACCATTTTTATATAGAATTTTATGAGGATAATTTTTGTATTCCATAGTTTTTATCCTAAAACCGATATTTTGGAACATATTTTAAACAACCCTGAAAATCGTACTTTTTATTTGTTTCAACAATATGTTGCCGACCGATTTCAGGTGTGCATTTTGAATAAGTATCTGTTTCTTTAGACCTATAAGAAGGCATAAAAAGAAAAAAGTTTCAATAGGAATTATTGTGTCTTAAAAACCTCTGACGCCTGGATTAACATGGGAAATTAGTTTTATGCAATATCCTGCCCTCTTGTACATTTTACAGAAAAAAACTGTCTAAAGTTGTTCAGAATTAAAAGGTGAATGCAAAACTGTTGTTACATGTTTTATTATGCTTTTGGTATACCCGCAAATTTAAAAATCAATTTCAACATTTCTGTTATTTGTAGCAATTCATACATTTTTAAATTTGCGATATACCAAAAGCATAATAAAACATGTAACAACAGTTTTGCATTCACCTTTTAATTCTGAACAATTTTAAACTCTACAGTTTTTCCTGTAAAATGTACAGAGGGTAGGATATTGCATAAAACTATTTTCCCGTGTTAAATCCCTATGTTCCTGTACTTACCGTGCACCACCCGGTATAGTAAACGTTTAAGATAATATCATATTTACATGTATATCAATTTACCCAAAAGATTTTTTTTACATAAGCGAACTTATATCTGCTATAATGCTTTACTTTATTCTTATTATAATATCCCCACAATTATTTGCGTATATGCCAAAACTCCTAGGATAGCACTCAATGCAAAACACTCATAGCTTTTCTTGTTATTCCTATACTTTTATAAGTAAAAAATAAACGCAAGGTTACAAAAATACAGACACAATGATTGGAAATTCGGCGCCAACGTCTGCTTCATCAGATACATATGAATCAAAAGTTTTTCTTAGAGGAACATAAATATCGTGAAAGAATCGTTTCGAGTTGTGTAAGAGTTAGTAGTAGTGCAGTATGAAGTAAAAGCACCTTAGCTTGACAATTTAATTACTTTTCGTTGGTGTCTTCGGTGTGGAATGATGAAAGATTTATTACTCCTTGACATTAATATTTAAGCTTGAATTGACTGAGGTAACGTGCACTTCTGTAAACTTATTTAAAATTGCATAATGCTCAAATTTAATAACGACGAAAGTTTTTCGAACTTTTAAGTTTATGTGCTTGTTTATGTCGCAGTAAGAGAAATTAAATATTTGTTTTATTTTTTGCTACTTACTTGCGTTTATTCCTTGTTATCTTTGATTCGTAGTTTAGAGTCCTTCCTTGATTTCCTGTGACGTAAATAATCATAAGATTTTTAGATTTAATGCCCAACAGGTTACACCAATTACAGGACACAATATGAAAAACATAATATAAAAAAAAGAACAAAATATAAGTTTATAAAATATATAGACGCATTTGGATATAATTTAGTAGATATCTAATGAAGGGAATCTAAAGCCATATCGATAGTGGGAAAAGGGTCATAATTAATGTCAATATTTTGTATTAAGTAAGTTAAGTAGAGCACATGTTGAATTAATAGGTGAATTACGAGAAATATTTAACCTAGTTTTTCCCCGCATTTTTGCAAATTAATTTGTACAAAGTAGCTTTTAATCTCACTTTGGCCGGCTGGCTGGCTGGCAGCAAATGTGGGCGCGCAGAAGAACTCTTGTAGAAAGACAACGGGTGTACGTGCATCTATAAGGCCGTGTAATTTGTCAACCTTAGGGACAGTGTTACATGATGTGGGGTTGGCGACATCTGGGCGTCATCCTCGAGCGTAGTTTACTAACGTGAAGGTTTTTCAGTTTTTTCCTATCCTCTACTACAGTTTTGGTCCGATTCTTTTCAAATTGGTGTCGTCGGAAAGATGTTGTAAACGCGCACAACTCCTGCGTGTTACTACTGCCGTTATTTCCAATAAAAGTAGGGTTTGAATCATTATTTAAAATTATAAAATTATCCTTAGCTAGAATTTCAGGTAATTTATCTCCGCTATAATGTTCAATTTCACTGCACCATAAACTGCATTTAGCGTAAAAATCTCCAGCTTATAATTTTATTATTTCCAATTTTATTTAATGTTTTTTCAAATAATTTGATATGAATTTCGTCTTTATTAGTGTGAGGAGAAAGGTAAA